CTCGTAAAATGGAGGTGTCTCTCAAATTACATCATTTTGAGAGAATACAGTGTCCTAACCAGAAGGCTGGCAGTTCAAACCCACCAGCCACTCCTCGGAAGGAAGATGGGGCAATCTGCTTCCGTAGTGATACTGCCTCGGAAACCCAAGGAGGGGTCGCTATGAGTCGGGTCCAACTCGACGGCACATAACAACACCAACAACAGTGTCCTTCACTACTACTCAGTGGTTGCTTCTCATTAAATCTCCAATGACTGTCTCTGTCCTATACAGATCTCTATAGCTCTCCTGCATGAAGAGGTTGAGGTCTAGTGTTCAATGTCTGTCTTCCTGGGGGAAAAATGGCTATGTTTTTACTGTTTTAATTAGATGCTGAAGTTAGTTAGAGTTTCTGACAGATGATAACCATGTCAAGGCTATCTGGAGTGAATGTTCAAAGTTGAGAGTACTAGAGCATGTGTAACTTGACATTAATTTTCCATGGTGGAATCTACTGGGAGCAGCTGAGTAGCTGCTTTAGGGATGTGGTCTGCTTCCTGTATATAAGGAGAAGCTTGGAGAATGGTCTCTAGCTTATGGCATGCTTAAACCCTGCATGTAGCTAAGTTGTTCATTGTTCAGCAGCCTGCCATGGTCTGCCGACCTTGGGGCTTACAATGGACTTGAATTAATGGCCTGCCATGTGGTTTGGTAACATCAGGACTGTGCCTTTTTTACTTGTCAACCTTGGGCTTGCAGCCTCAGCAGCCAGCAGCTGAGTGAAGAAAAACCTCCAGCTTCAGTAGGCTGGGAGCTGGAGGCAGAGCTGCAGCCCAAGGTTAAGGGGCTTTCACCCAGCCCCTGAAGCCTGTCACTTTGAACTCAGACTTAAAACCTTCAAATTGTAAGAATAAACTCCTGTTTGTTAAGGCCATTCCATTTGTGGTATATTCTTGTCAGAGCAGCACTAGGGAACCAGAACATAGATACAGCATTATCGTTGTTGTTGTTGTTGTTGTTGTTCTGTGCCATCGAGCATTATTGTTATCTGCATATTATTGATGAATGACTAAATGGAGTCATGGGGGAAAAAAGACACTCAGGTAGATTAAGTCACTTGTTCAAGGTTACACACCTAATGAATTTGAGATCCAGGAATTAGACTTGAGCTGTGTGAGACCAGAGCCCATGACCTTAACTATTTCACTATAGTACTTTTTTCATCATCTAAGAAGAAGCTACTTATATTTCTGAAGGCACTGGAAGGTGAAGTTGCGGATCTGAGGTGTATCAACTGCTGATCTAACATTGCAGTTTCAGAAAGATATGTTATTAAACTTTTGAGAACCTCAGCATGGGAGATAAGTTTATGGGGAGAAGAAAAGGGAGTTTAATCATGGTGAAGATAGAAGTGATGCACACAATGTCCAGGATGGTAGACGTGTTAATAAACTATACAGACCTTTGCTCCTTTCTACCCCTAGAAGAGATCAAGAAAGCATAGAGCATATAACTTAGAAGATGCATGACTTTGTTGATTCCATCCGTAGGGTCTTTCATTAGTAGCATACAAGAGTCATCTTTTTCAACCCTAACTAATCTAGGGATTAAACCTTTATTGATGACCATGGTGTTTAAGTGTGAGCTGCACTTTTTCTTCTTTAAAGAGAATTAGGCTAACAATAATGGCCCTCGTACCCAGTCTCAAAGTGTAATGGGATTTTTCTTGGCCTATGTTACAAAAATTGAATGACCTGTGTGACTGTTTTCAGCTAACTGAGAAAGCTCCTTGAACTTTTACTGCTCTTCTCTCCAATGAGTTGGCTTAGTTATTTTTATTGCTTGGATGCTGCTTTGGGGATATTTGGATTTTCTTTTCCAAGAAAGACAAAATCTGAAAAAATTCGCACAGCCTTGAACTGCTTCTTTTTCAGTTCTCTGAGCTTATATTGCAGTACTTTACCATCAAAACAAGAACTGCATGCTATCTGTGTTTAATTGCCTTTAAGTATAACTGCTGTAAGCCTTAGTAATTATAGTTAACATTCTCTGCATTACCATTGCACTACTCCCCTAGGGTTTTCAGAGCAATTCACAAATAAATACATTCAACTTTAAATAGCTCATGAGGATTATAGAGCCCAGAAGGTGAAGGGTAGAGGATGTTTCATCCTTTCCAATTATCCAAAGCTTAGCAAATAGGAAGGCCAAGACATCCATGACCTAAAGGTTTTGGTTATCCAACTCGGTGTTTTTACAAATAATCACATTACCCCAGAAAGAAAGGTTTAAGCATATGGGGAGAAAGAGAATGATGATTTTTGTTTGTTTTATTGCCTAGGAAAAGGTCTAATGGACAAAAACATCTAGGCTTATAAATCACCCCAATTGCTTTGTAAGGCTAGATTGAGTTAGGCTATGAATGAAAGAAAATGTGAAGAAAATATAGAAAAATATTAAAACATTTTCCTTCTCCTATTCACCTAGGCAAAGCTTACCACAGGGCCTGGTAGGAAAATAGAAGATATGTTTCCTCCACCTGTAGAAAGTTCAGCAATTCTAATTTGGGAAGGGGGCTGTGATAAGACAGGGAAAGAGTTCCCACCAGCACATGCCATGCTGTCTGACTGGAAATTATAGAAGCAGTGATTTGCACTCATTACCAGTAATAATTTACCTGGTGTTTGGGAGGATAAGCAGGAGAAAAGCACTGTTGCTGCAATGGGGGAGTCAGGTTGGTCTTGTTGGCTTGACTCCAGCTAGATGGGTATGGGTGATGCTGATAAGTTTGGTAACCTCTTTGTTGCCTCTTACTGTTTACCTAGGCATTTTGGCATTTGACATTGATTTTTTTCTCCAATGAAGGGAAATAAAAAGAAAAACCTGAGTACTTTTGGTACCACACATGATACTAAGCACTTTATGTGTGCTCTCTCATTTAATCCTCATAGAGTGTGGTAGTTAAGTTTGTGTGTCAACTTGGCTGGGCCTGGTTGAGTGGCTGGGCAGCTGGATGTAGTATTCCCCATGAGGAGACTGGTAATCAACTCCATGAGGGCCTGCTGCATGGTTTGGGAATTCATTGAAAAGTCAGATCAGTTGAATTCCTAGGTAGTCTTTCTTCTTGACCATGTTAATAATAATAATATTTTCAGATTTTAATCTTAACAATGAAGGTATCCCTAACCTCAGCTTCCTAGTAACAGCAGATTTGCCTAACTTGAAGATTTTCTGCTTTAGAAAGAGTTCACCCATTGATTAGCAGTGAAAGGTACCCCCACAGTTAATGTGCAAGGCATAGTATGCTCATTTACTAATGAGGTGAGAATGCTATTGTTTCCCTCATCTTCTTGAATACTGAGGGTGTCTGTGCCCTCTTTGAGGAGCTCTGGTAGCATAGTGCCTAAGGCACTTGGCTGCTAACCGGAAGGCTGGTGGTTCGAACCCACCAGCCACTCCTCAGAAGGAAGGTTGGGCAATCTACTTCCATAGTGATACTGCCTTGGAAGCCAAGGAGGGGTCGCTATGAGTCAGGGTCGACTCAACAGCACATAACAACAACATGCCCTCTTGAAGAGCTCTGAGCTCTTTATTCCCATAGAGCCAAGATTTGGCTTCTAAGTTACATGGGTACAAACAACTAAAATTCTTAGCCCCAACCTGCCTCTACCTTTGATTTGTGATATAGCTGATAGGTTTGGCAAAAATTATGGAGAGTTCAGTTGAAATAGAATTTTGTGTGGGCTTAGGGTTTGCATGTGTGTTACTATCTCTCCTTTCTAGTTATATGTATTAATAAGACCAGATGTTAGGAGGCCTAGGTGCCTCTATTGAATCATGGACATCTTTCAATATCTTTTTTTAAGTGTACCCAATTGGTCTGTGATGATGTAATGTTACCAGCAAAACCTAACTCACTGCCATCGAGTCAATTCAGACTCATAGCGACCCACTTTGGGTTTCCAAGGTGGTAAATCTTTATGGAAGTAGATTGCAGAGTGTTCCTTCCAAGGAGCAGCTGGTGGGTTTGAACTGCCAGCCCCTGGTTAGCAGTAAAATGCCTTAGGCACTACATCACCAGAGCTCCTTTTAGCAACTATTGTTTATTTTAAAAGTCTGTTGAGTGAAAAAAGTTTGTAAGGCATGAAGGATGCACATCTCAATAAGCTAAGGTCATTGTAGAGGTGGAAGGGCAAATTTAAAGGATTCTGTGGCAAGGTGAGAAAAGTCATAGTAGAGGTATGTGAAAAGAATTAATAGGAAAATAGTGGAAGGGGAAGAATAAGGAATGTGTGACAGGGAAGAAAATTCCAGAGAAGTTCTTATATTTGGACTTTGAAGGATGAAGGGCAGGCAGACACCTGTCTTCTAGAAGCTACTGATCATCCCCTGCTGATGGAAGTAGAATCAGGGAAGACTTAGAGATGGGAAAAGAACAGGAAATTAAAATGGGCTTCCTAATTCCTATCCGTCTTCCTATTCTCTTTACAAGAAACACAAGGCAGCCTGCTAATCATCATGAAGAAACTTATCTCCATCCAGGG